ACCCCGAGGGGCCGGGACACCCCGAGGGGCCGGGACACCCCGAGGGGCCGGGCACACACAGCGCTGCAGCCGCCACGCGCCACGAGGAGGGAGGGAGCCCACAGAAACAGCTGCGAATCCCTCCGTCGGGGCCCTGCTCCTGCTCAAGGCTTCCCTCTTTCTACATAACCTTGGGGCTGAACACACACACTTGAAAAATATACAAAAAAGTTAGTTTTATTAAACCACCTAACTACAAGAAAAAAAATGGAATGGGAGAAATAAAACAAAGTAAACCAAAATTCACATCTTTGCAAAGGAAGTTACAGGAAAATGTCAGGCAATCTCAGCTAAGACATTTGCTCCAAATGCAGCAGTAGCTCTGCAGTTTCCAAGCACAACAGTCACAACCATATCACAATTCAAGTACCTCTTCCCTTTGCTGCAGTTAGAATTAACTGCACAAGGGAAGGGCAGTGGAAATGCCAAGTTGCTGAATAACTGGACAAAACACTGAAAAGAATTCTTAAAAAGGAAGCTGCATTAAAGTTAATATCCCCTCAGTGTCAGGTACACCTTCAGTAGTCTCCAGTCACTTTGCACTAAATGAAACTAGTAGTAGCTTCCTAATACAGTAGCTCAGGCTACATTAACAGCAAGTTTCTGTGTAAACTCAGAGGAAGCAGCCTCGAGTCTGCTATTGCTTCAGTCTGTAGCATTGACCAAGCTGCATCACCAATATCACAGCAATTCCTACATTTGCCTCTTTCTAAAGGAAAAATACTGCTGGCAAGTGCCTTTAGGAGATCTTCCTCCCAAATAATACCTGGGAAGAGTTCAAGTTTTTGAAGCACTTTACAGGTAAAGAGTGCTCTGCAAAAAGTACAGTGAGATTCTTATTCCAGTAGGTAGACAGAAGTTGCTTGATGGCATCCTGAAAGAGGAAGACTTAAAGCAATCAAAAAGTTAGCCACCTTAATGCTGAGGTAACAGAGGAAAACCCAAAACACTCACTATCCCCCAAATTTGGCTTACATCTTATTTCAAAGACAACACTGAATTCGTAGCACTCTATCATGCACTGGTTGCGATTCAAATGGAAACAAATCCTGGATTTCTAACAAATTCTACATGTAGCCATGACAAAGCAATCCAAAAGCAAACCTAATTAAAACTTGTTAGAACAACCGAATTCATGTTTCTCATCACTTTCTCCCAAGGGAGAGGAAAGCTCATGGCAGTGTCCCAGGCTGCAGAAAGCACTGTGGCTATCCAGGGAGGAGCAGCCTGCAATCCAGCAGGAGATGTGCGCGCAATCCGGCGGGAAGGCTTCCCGGATCCGCACCACCGGGATGCAGGCGAGCAGAGGCCTCCTCAGGAGTGCTCCGCGGGGCCTGCCCCGTGCCCGTTCACGTGCGGGTGCGACGGGGTCGAGCTCTGCGAGGCGGCAACGCTCTGCTCTGCCGGGGCACTTGTCAGAGGCATCGAGAGGCTCTCGGGGGACAGCGCGGCAAGGTCTTGTCTCCAGTAGGCTTCGCACAGGGGCAGATCGTTGTTGTCACACAGACTGTAGCTTTCCAGAACAAACAACCCCAGTGAGGAGAGAGCGGGTGCAAACAAGGAGGGGAAGGGAGCAAGAAGGAGGGGGAAAAGCAAGACAGAAGCAAAGCATTAAGAAAATAGCAAAAAAAGTCCATGGATGTAAGGTTTGTGATCATAAATTAATCGCAGCTCTTATACCATTGGGCTAGATACCCGCTAGGGGCTGGTGTTGAATCTCATGGCCAGAGGAGAATCAGGGAGTTTTAGAAACATTTTGTTTTTGCTGCAAACTGAGACAGAGGTTGAATTTTAATTCAGCTGCTCCAAGTGCCTAGAAAGATGTGGGCTAAAATTCTAGTATTCCCAAACACAGGAGTTCTGCCACTAATTTCAGACCCCTCAATCACAAACATTTCACTTGGAGTTACATCATGACCTAAACGAGGAAAAAACTCAAGCCTTAGATTTAAATTCAGAAAAAAAAAAATCCTAGTTCAATTGTTTTAAGGTCTGCCCCTGTAAGGAAAAGGAAGAAACCCTACTTGCACCCCTACCTTTCCAGAGAAGGCCTTACTTTTGAAGTGTCCCTAGCCTCATTCTAAAATATTTTCAGCTTCTAGTGGTTTCAGCAGACCTTCAGTTAAGAGTTGTTCTACAAGCAGCTTGCTGGATTTTACTACTGTAGACTATGTAATTGTATGAACCATCAGTATGGACAAGTAGTTAAAAAAAAAAAAACAAAAAAAATTCCTCTCTTCTATGCTCTAAGGGAAATACCACATGGAAGGGCCAAAATTAAAGAGAAAAGCAATGCAATTTGATTAAAAAAAGAAAGCACTGCACACACACAAGACACGCAAGACAGCAAGTGCTAGAGCAGAAAGCAGTTTGTGCACAGAGTAAAACAAACCCAACTGGTCAAGTGGTTGTTGTTGCAGCTTTATTTACATATTTCATGTATGGACTTGAATAGATGCTTATGGGAAATATTAAGTGTAAAAATATAAGAGACACTTCACATTGCACAAACATATAACATGTTGAGATCTAACCCCACACAAGATAGTGCCTGTGATCTCAGAGGATGAAGCAAAAGTCCACAAAATCAAGTTTGGCTTTAAGGCAAGCTGGACTTGAGCTACTGCTTTGCAGAACAAGCGCACAAAGCCCTTCTTCAAGCATCTACTTTTGAGCTTTTTTTCCTAGTAGCATTACCCAGCTGTCTTGAAACCTAAGTGAGAAGGCAGCAGATACAGGCAGATACTTGGGGCTTTTTAAAATTTCCCATAGGATTTCCTTTTCTGGGACATGAAGATATCTAACCCTGCTCTACAGGCTCCAAAAAGTGCAGCTTGATTCAGTTATTGAGGACATTCAGGACTACATCAGAATTACCACCCCTTTTCTTAGTCTTGCCCCTTAGCCCCTGGTTCCCAAGGGAAGCTGGGCCAAAGCAGTCATCACATCAGCCTTGGCAGATGAACCAGAACTACTATGAACCCTTGAACTTGTCAGAACTTGTCAGTATCTGCTTTGGCTGCTGCCTCAGGAAGAGCAGCTCCAAAAGTCTAAGTGTCACCTCCCATTCAACACTCCTCAAAATCCAGGGTGAAAAGTGACCATTGCAAGGCCTAGAAGAGCACTGCTTTACCTACTACTGTCCTTTGACAGAAGTTCTCTCCCTGTAGTTCTCCCTTGGGACACATGGCAGGTCTGCACAAAGGAATATATCTAGGAAGCTACATGAGCAGGAGTGAAAGCGAAGACTCCTTCCAAACAATCTACTCAGCTTTAGTTTCACAGATTTGTCTTCAGGTTTCCTCATTAAAGTTCCTATGTAAAATGCAACTCAGCCCTAAAATACTCCTATTTAGCAGGGGAAAAGGGGCATCTCCTAAGCAGTGTTAGCATAATAGAAATGACAATTGCCAAACACAGAAAAAAGTTCTCTCCTACAGACTTCTCATAGCACAGGGACCAAGAGAACCACATATCTCATTAGGCAGCCCTTAGTTTTGCAGTACCTGGAGGTAAGGCAGGGAGGGAATTTTAGGATGACCTAACATAAACTAACCAGAACACCTGAGAGCAGCTTGGCAGGACAGCTATACAGCCTCCTGGGACTGCAAATCTCTAAATCTTGTGAAAAGAAGTTGCACTAGAGAGTAACAGACAGTGCAGAGAGGCAGCAGGCAATGCCCATGGGTGAGCAAACCCCACTGCATTTACAGCTATTGAAACATGATTGACACTCTAGGACTATGTGACATACAACAGAGACCCTTTCCCCACATCAGACAACATGGTTTCATTAAAAATATCTTAATACTCTAATTATAAAAGGATTTTGAATAAATCACAGTTTTCCTATTTTCACGCATTTCTTTGGTGCAGAAAAAGACAGGAAAGAACACAAGAGGAGAAAACAAATAAATGCCAAAGAAACAACTAAAGCACTAGGTAATGCTATATGGTATGAGGTCTCAATGGAGGGATCTTAGCTCTGTAGTTTAGCCAAGTTTTGTTACCTTATGGCCACTCTTACAGAGCATGAAGGCAGATCCACTTGGTGTAACCAGAACAGGAAAACATTGTGCTTACAGGGTAGTTCTGTTAAGAAGGGTGGCTTTATGTGGCATATGGTGCCAGATAGGTCAGACCACATCAACAGGGTCAGAACCCCTTAATCCAAAAGTTAAAGCTACAGACAGAAAAGAAGATTCTAGTCATTAAAATCTTAAAATTTTGCAAGCTTAAATCAGCTTTTGTTTACAACTCATGCCATTATCACACTGACTTAGCTTGGACAATACAGCTGAAATAACCAGGTTCTCATTTGTTTTTTCCTGCTTTCATCTACTGCATGATCAACTACAAGTGCTGGAGTGCATGACAAAAAATAAAAATAAAAAATAAAGTGTCTGAATCATCTAAAGCTTTTTTCCTATGTAAAAGTCTCTTTAAAAATATTACGAAAATCCTATAAACAAATCAGTATCAAGTCCTTCGCAGAAAATCCTATCACTATCCCTCACAATTCAATAAAACTGAGAACATCGTTTTTACTCTTTGAAATGTTCACCTCAGTGGGACTTCAGGCAGCTGGGCAGTAGACTAGAAGAAAAAAGGCACACTGTGTAACTAGGTCACTTGTGAAAAAACTTGCCACAAAGATGTGGGACACACTCACTTCATCTGACTTTAGAAGAAGGTAGCTCTCTAGAAAGAGAGACAGAGGCTCCTCCAGAAGGATACTTCAAGCAGAAGCCTGATGTTACTCAAGAAAACACCTTTCCCTTGCTAAAGATTCTGAAGGAAGCCTACACAAATTCCCTGTCTAATCTAGCCAACTAAAGCAGACACCTAGACCAGGGCACTCTAAATACCTCCATAATCACACTTATACCCTGTAGAATATCTGCAAGGAGAAGATAATTGCTTTAAGTTGTAGAAAGTTTGACCTAATTAAAAACAAGGGAGCAAAAGTTTTCTGGGAACCTCAAAGACACATATGTTAAGGGCTATTTGTCTAGGTCAACTCCCCCCAAAAGGGAGGGAGTCAGTAGGCAGAAGTCCACTGCTCTATTTGTACCTGGAAGAGTAATATTCTTCTTCTAGCTCGTACAGGTCAATGGAGATCTCATCCCGCAGTGCAATCAGCTTCTTGTCACATTCCTCCTGCAAACTTTTCAGTTGCTGGTTGCGCTGGTTGATGGCTTCATTCACAGAGGGGAAATCATTGAGAATCAAGAACTGCTTCAGATCTGACACAAGTTTCATCAGGGACTCCCCAGCTCGGACCTTGCCGCATAGAAGGAAACCACATAGTATATTAAAACAGTGTTTGCTCCAGCTCTGAAACCAGCTCTCTCAAACTGCTGCTTCAGCCTGATATCAGACAAGCTGCTCGTATCCAAACTAGAATGCCCAAAACAGAGTTCTTCCCATTTTAGATGAGGATTCAGAGAAATGTCTGTAGCTGATAACCCAGGCTACCCTGGTTTCCTCTAGAAAAGGAACTTGCCCCATAATCTCCCCAAACAGCAGACTGCCCTCCTAGCAGCAGTGGACAGAAGTGTTAAACACAACACCAGATGCTATAACAAGCCAGACAGTGCATGACAAACACACTGCCTGAGGTGCTTAGACCACAGCAGAGTGGTACTTACAATGTTTGCAGCTCTGACATGCATCTCATAGTTATCCTGTTCACCCTGGGTTGCTCGAGACACTTGAGTTTCATCTTCAATCTAAAAGAAAAGCCCAAACTGCCACATGTACACACAAAAATAATGAAATATGACTGCCTTACTGCAAGGCATTTCCCTGCCATCCAATCTAACAACCCCCATAACAGAT